AATATAAGAACGAACTATGAATACTGCCCTTAGAGATGCTAACATTGGATGTTTCTACTAGGATGTTTGTGAATAATGACATCTAAAAAGGCTAATTGATAATTTGAATCAATAGACTTTCCATTTCAATTCCTTAACAAGATCAAGATATGAGCAAATAGGCCTAGTTTGGACTTATAATAGCTTTCATTTATTTATTTATTTATTTATTCATTTATTTGTAATTTATTAGATTAATAAATAAGCCCAATTACATTGATTAATATTTAGTAATATAGATATAGTGGTAGGAGGATCTCAAGCCCAAGTAGATCGTATATCTTGATATATATTCTTTATTACACCAATGTTAGAACAAACGTTTCGGCTGATCATTCAACCATCTTCCGTGTTCTTTTTAATCTAAATATTTATACATCTTAGTGATTTTATATATAAAAATTGAGGTCAAGATAATAATTTGCTTAAAAATATTTTAATAAATAATTAATATTATGTCGCATACCTGTACTTAAAACTATGTTGATTCAATTCACCATTATTGAGGTCTATACTGGTGATCACTTATGTGATTGTGAGAAATTGCTGTTGCGGTGTTAATCTCAAGTCACCATGTTCTCAACTGTGAGTTAATGTTACATTTTAAAATTGAAGACCCGAAGGCATGTAATACTAGGAAATAAGGGAGAGGGAATCAAAGGAGAAGGGGCAATCACAATCCCAGCCAGTAAAACAAAAAATATTATTTTTCTAAACTATAGAGTAGGCAATAAGTTGAAAATAGGAATATAAGAATCAGAAAGCAAATCAGTGTCATCTTTGTTTGTTTAGACCGTGTGACTGTCTTTTTATGTTTATCATTTCTGAAGTTAGTCTTCTCACATATGATTTTTCATTATCTACAATGCTAACTCCTTCCCAATTCATTTGGTGATTAAATTCTAACCGATGTTGAGAAATAACTGAAGGAGAAGTGCTTTTTTTAAATATCATTTTTATGCTTTTTAATCCTAGTTTCCAACCTTCTCTTTGTTTGACCTATGTAAGTTGCCTCACAATCCACACAAGAAATCTTGTATACTACACCACAATGTAAAAATTTTTCTAAAATATCTTTGTGTCTCTTTATGAAGTACCTCATATCACATTCCCTAGCATAAGACATTCTAAAACCATGTTTCTTACTCATGGACGTAAATTTCTTAGATATGCCTCTAACGTATGGAATAGTAAAAAACTTATTTCTACGGTCCTCTGACACTCCACTCTCTCCACCTTGTATTCTTTTGTTGCCAAAAGAATAATATTTTAGTCTTTCTTCTATATTATAAAAAATAAATGGAAGAGGGTAATTATTATTCCGTAGGATATTAATGATGTTATTAAGATCATTTTGAAGAAAGCGTGGATGAGAAAGTCTTATACTACTATCAACCATTCCAAAGATAACTCCTCTCTTATGTGATATGTGATGTTGAGAAAGAAAATTTAGGTACCTCTCCGAGAAAGTCTGTTTATGGTACCATTTGGTAATAATGTTGTCACCTTCTACAATCAATTCTACGTCCAAAAAACTCAAATGTCCCTTGTTAGCTCGTTCACATGTAAATTTAATTCTTTCATGAAACGAATTAAAAATTTCTATTATTTCATTGATAACGTTGTTATGAGCCGCCAAACCGTTGTTTTTTCGCCTTACTGGCTGGGATTGTGGTTGCCCCTTCTCCTTTGATTCCCTCTCCCTTATTTCCTAGTATTACATGCCTTCGGGTCTTTAATTTTAAAATGTAACATCAACTCACAGTTGAGAACATGGTGACTTGAGATTAACTCCGCAACTGCAATTTATCACAATCACATAAGTGATCACCAGTATAGACCTCAATAATGGTGAATTGAATCAACATAGTTTTAAATACAGGTATGCGACCTAATATTAATTATTTATTAAAATATTTTTAAGCAAATTATTATCTTGACCTCAATTTTATATATAAAATCACTAAAAATTATAGATGTATCAGGCTCTGATGATTGTTAAAATCAATAAATTTGATAGGAGCGTAAAGAGCCAACAGCCAGATATTCGTGCGAAGGTTATCGTGTATTAATTTATAACCATTGAACAATACATTAAAGAACAAACGTTTCAGCCTGTCATCAGGCCTTTATCAATGTTATTACAAAATTCAATAAATACGCAACGCAAAAATTAAATACAAAAAACGAAGTAAAATTGACATAATAAACTGAAGAGTAGTTAAAACCACATTAAACTGTAATAAAAAAGAGCCAAATGAGAAAATTCCCGTTACAAATTGAGCGCAAACAGAAAAAACAGAAAAAAGAAACAATTTTTACATACTTGTGTTAAACATAGTAGAAAGCTCATCCACACAAGATGGAACGAGGTAGGAGAAAAAACTTAGAACCATATAATGTGATGGTTGAAACCTCAATGTACGTGATAGAATAACGATAAATTCAAGCGATGAAAGATTAGTGAGAGGGCGGTGGAGAAGGGGAGGACGGAAAGAACAAGGAGTATGGAGGGGAGGGTATAAGTACCTAGGAGGGGAAGACAGGAATTAATATATGAAAAGAAAACGATACAATTATAACGGGGGAAACAAATTAATAATGGGGAGATAAGAGTCAGGTAACCGTTCTGTGTCATTTTGATTGTTCAAGCCTGCACGTTGTCTTTTTATGAACACCATTTCGGATATCAATCTCTTTCCATAAGAAGGTTCTCCGTCCAGAATTCTCACATTGTCCCAGTCAAAATCGTGAGAAAAATCCAATTTATGTTTGGATATAACAGAGGGGGAACAGCTCTTTTTTATGTCATTCTTGTGTTCTTTAATTCTAGTATTAAGCTGTC